TGCGGGCGGTTGAACATAGAAGCTGCTGCCGAATTGCCGCCGGCGCGGAAAAGCTCATGCTGCCCTCACGGCATACGCACTGCCCCCGCTGTCCATGGTGGAAATTCGGCGCGCTGCTTGGGGCAGCAAAAACACATGGTCTGCCGCCCCTTGCAGATTGCTGCCCCAAGCACCTGCTTGGAATGCTGGTGCCTGGAGCCGGCCCTGCTCGGAAAGGAGAGAAATGGAGACAGTGTCAGAGTCTGGCATCAGTTTGGTGTTAGCCTTAAGCCCTATCCATAGCCCTAACCCATATTCAACAGGGACTTAAGCATGAGTTTATATTTAAACCTTCAATGGGGCCACTCATATGATTAAAGTTAAGAATGTGCTGAAGTGGCTGCGGAATCAGGACCATTGTACAGAATATTCAAAGGAAGTGAGTTTTAAATTCATAATCATGAGTGTTTGGAGCAGATCCTCAGCTGCTGTAAATTCTCAGAGATCTATTGACTTCAATAGAGCTATGACAATTTAATTCAGCTGAGGATTGGCTTAAGGATCCCGACTGCGATACTTCCATGTGCTCAGAGAAGCAACCAGAGCATGTTAAAAATGTATCCAGTCAAAACAGCTCAAAGTTCAAACACTAAGTGTGTTAGGATGAGCTGTTTGTAAATGTTTGTAAATGAGTGATAGTCATAAAAATCTTTGCTAAATAATGTTCAATAAGGAGTTCTTAAAAGAAAATCATGATCTGGACATAGACAATCATTTACAGGAAAAGAAGCACAATAATTTGCACAATAATTTCCATAGATTATTCATTATCTAGCTAGCTAATATAATTCACAATCAGATAGAAATCTATCTTTATGACTAAATGAAGTTGTGTGTTAGGACAAGGAATGGTCCTGTCTGTGTATCTCTCTATCTAATCCAGGCGTCGACAACCTTTCAGAAGTGGTGTGCCGAGTCTTCATTTATTCACTCTAATTTAAGGTTTTGCGTGCCAGTAATACATTTTAACATTTTTAGAAGGTCTCTTTCTATAAGTCTGTAATATATAACTAAACTATTGTTGTATGTAAAGTAAATAAGGTTTTTTAAATGTTTAAGAAGCTTCATTTAAAATTAAATTAAAATTCAGAGCCCCCCGGACTGGTGGCTAGGACCCAGGCACCGTGAGTGCCACTGAAAATCAGCTTGTGTGTCACCTTCGGCACTCGTGCCATAGGTTGCCTACCCCTCATCTACTCTAATGCTTTTGTCTGTCATATATGTAGTGTACACAACCATGCACAAAGATGATATTCTAATACTAGTAACAGGTCTACTTTTGAGATCCTTTCTCAGCTTATATGTGAGTATATCTACACAAGATGGGGTATGAAGTATCAGGGGGTAGCCGTGTTAGTCTGTATCTACAAAAACAACA